GTAGTGTGTTTATTAAATTGATTAGGGAAAGCTTAGTGCTGAATTTATTACGAAACCCGTATTGATGCTTGTAAAGTATTTTCTCTTTCTCCAAATAATGCAGTAGTTGTTTGTTAACTATTTTTTCTAGAACCTTGCTAATAAGGGGTAACACTGAGATTGGTCTATAGTTTCCGGGGATATTGTTTGGGCCTTTTTTGTAGATGGGCGTTACCTTTGCCATTTTTAATGCATTTGGAAAATGTCCCTGTAAAAATGATAAATTAAAAATAAAACAAAGTGGTTTACAAATGATCTCAGCTCCATCTACAAGAAGTCGTGCCGGTAAACAGCCATAGCCTGACGATTTGTTCTGATTTGTTTATAGTACTATAGTTGGGCTGATGCTTGATTATGATTTTTTAATATTAATGTGACTGACATTCAGTCATCTTGTACCTGATCGACAAACGAGTACTTGTCCATATTGAGAGGTATTGCTCTGGAAAAGCATTGATAAAAACAAAATAACTACCGGTTGGTCATTTTAAATACATCTGTATATCTATGACATGATGTATAAAGAATATATAAAATTTGAACATAATCAGTCAAAGCATGTCAGAGATATGGCTCGAGAACCACATTCGAAAAGTCGACAGCGGAGCTAAAAAAATTCTTGCTCACTGTTGCCATACTTTCGCCCCAAATTTATTGCCTCCTACCAGTCTTGTATTATAGCAGTGTTCATATGATCATATTGTTTTTTTTATTTTGGCTACGTTGCACACTGGTAAGAGATCACCGGCGCCAACATGATTGTTACACTGTATCAACGTAATCGCAACGCAACTTTGAACTATGAATGAACTGTAAATGCTGCCTTCAATCTAGAAAATACTATCGCAAAACGGTTGGAAATAATAAATTTAACAGTAGAATACATCTTAGCAATAAAATAAAGTGACTTCTAAAGACTGAATGTTTTTTTGTGAACTTCGTATACGGGGCCCAGTTTTAGTTAGAAACCGACGTTAGCTTCACGTTCATGTCATACCACGGCAACAGCCGAAAACATGATGTTGCTTGTTTTTGAGCAGAGCGGGTCGCCAACCAGCCTACCAGCTTGTTTTATAAACTGGCTTGGTAATTCCCACCATGAATTAGACCATGTCACAGCATTTCGGCTACTTTTTCAACAAATCCAAAATCACTCGATAATTTTGCTTACATTTTAAGTTTTGATAATTTTAATGCATACATGTACACTCACAAAAATGCCCCCAAAATAAGAGAATTTAGTATATAGCCTTGACAAAAAAAGCGTTATTTTTCCTTGCATTTCTACATGTATGTAACTTCATGTGGAAATCCTGATGAGATTTAAAGTTCACAACTAACGGTTTTGCAATATTATATATAGGCTGTGAAATTGTCCATGGAGGCTGCAAAAAAATAAATATTGTATTCACTGTCATTTATGTTGTATTTACATTTGCAATGAGTTCCACAGTATTATTTTCTGGTGTGGCTACAGTGACTGTGTAGTGTTTTTGTTTTGTCGATTGTTGTCAGTTGTTTGTTTTGTGTTCTTGAAATTTTGTACAAAAATCAACAACGATTATAGGTATGTTATTTCCATTTTGCAGTATATTGTATACTTTGTTATCCAGCATAAATATCAGGTTGTGCCGAAGCACGAGATTGTAATGTAAAATAATGGTGTAATGTTGTTCAAAGTCCCACTGGCATGTTGACTATGTCCCGGCCCGTTTACTTACTTACTTGTTGTCAGTGTCTGAGTGGTATATACAAAATACGATCAAGTAAACGTCAGATATTAAAAAAATCAGAAACCTAAAAATGAGTTGCCCATGCCAAAGAGCCGCAGAACCAAAACAATCTGTCAGCCGTCGCCGTCCACAGCAGCGATATGATTTTACACATCGAAATTGAGAATGGCAGGTGTGGACATATTGCATAGAAATGAACACTAAATACATCTATCCCGGCCAGAAATCGAATCATCAATCTTCACGAGTGACGTAACTGGCATTTCCATCTATTTGTTTCTATTCCCACTATCCTAAAACGCTCAAGTGAATGTTGCCAAATTCGCTAGTGTGCGTATTTTCGTACAGTGGCGTAAACATTGCTACAATCACAGTTACTAAAATTGAAAGGTGTGAATCTGCCTAATCCCTCAAGGATGCATGTCGCGCTGTGTACGTATTTTGTTTCATTTCTGTGTCGATCACTTAATGTTCCGCAAATTAAAATTTTAAGCTTGTTTTTGATAGAATATCCACGTTTAGTGCACAAGCTCTACGAAGAATTACATGTACATTTCGGATGAGTACTCTTTGTGACTGTGATAACATTGGAATCGAGTATTGTCATTTATCGTTTTCACTGTTGACATGAAAGTAAGTTTGGGTCCCGGAAGAAAAAGTGCCAAAAATTCTAACCCCTAAGTCACTATTTTAAAATACATTATAAAAAACACTACCAGATGAATTTTTAGTATACTACTGTGTGTACTTATGATGGTTGTATGCGATTTGGGGGCTTATTAGAGTAAATTTTATCGTTTTGCTTTCGCGTCACTGTATCAGCCATTGTGTTTAAAGTCTTAACACTTTTTTTTGTAGACGCCATAGAAATCGTTGAAAATGTATTCAACATTTTCCGCCAGTTTCATAAAATGCCTGTTTAATTGTTCTTGTCTGTCCTTGTTTCAGTTTTTTGGCAAATTTATTATGCAATATTCAGCGTGCCGTTAAATGCGGTTTTAGTCAACGCTACAATTTTTAAACAAATTGAACTGTTGGTGCAACTTTCTAGCAGTCTCTTCGCCAAATCAATTTTTCAAACCCTTTTTAACAGTTCTTAATTTCATTGGAACTGCCTGTTGTTGCATATTTGGAGGTATGTACGGTACCCTCTAGAAGGCATTTGAGACCAGTTTTGAGACTCTCCCACAGAGGAAGATGCCATTTGAGACCGTGTTTGAGACCGATTTAGAGACTCTCGGATGCCACATAGACCGGGAATGAGACCGTGTCTGAGACCAGCTTTAGAGACCGTCAATTCGCGCAGTCTGATTGGACAACCCTCTGACATCCGAAATTGTATTCTCTACTCTTTTCACCATAGATTTAGGAACAGAAAAATTGTTGACAGATTTGTTAGCTACGAGAAAATTAAGACGCTAAAAAAGAGAAAAGAAAACGTGAATACCTCATGTAGAGAATAGTTTGACGACATACAAGACTGTATTATTATGATGTAGTGTATTCTGAAACATGAAGCTGGGAATATTTAGTAACTGTGTTGATTGTTTGTAGCAGTTGACGTAATCGTTAACAAACCCGGTATTATTCACTAAAACAGGCGCAAAATTCACCCAATTAGCCAGTTAACGGGTAGTAACAATGGTCTGTGTCCATCGATAACAATCGTATTTGAATTGCAAGTGTTTCTTTATTTGGCAATGCTAGGTTGGGGCCAGTCATGGAGCTAAAAAAAAATTTTTTAGCTCCATGGGTGAGTGGGAGTACGTCATAGTTTAGAGAAAAGTTCCGCGATTTGCGTTCCTTAGTACTAAGTATCAACAGAGGTGCGTGAAACCGCAGCCACCATTGGCTGGCGGTGCCCAAAATAGTCGGCGTCCCGGCAACCAGGAGACGGCTGTTCATTTCCATTTATCTGTATCTAGTTCTTGGCGCCATTGAGCAGCGAACGAAATTACGTTTGTTGAACATTGGGTCGTATATGCACGAGTTCCTGTTTAGCGAGTTAACGTGTTTTTACCGATGATAACTACACCTCTGTGAATATTTCAACGCTAATATGCCCATTTTCATTTTAACGAAACATATTACTACTGGTTTATATTTTGTGTCTAATTTTATTTATACAAGTTAAAATGGTTAGGTTGAAGTGCTCAGTTCGTACATCTATTTAGCCCTAAACCTCAAACCCAATACACAGCCCCTCTATCCCGGTCAGCAACGCCAGACATTTTTTGTGTGTTTCATC